AAGGAAAAATAAAAGAAAAGTGGTGGGACCCTCCTTAGCCATTTAAGAGCATTAGAGACCACTTGGGTCTCATTCCTCTCTCACTCCCATAAGTCTATCTCTCTCCCATTCTAGACTTTTCTTTTTCCTTTCTTTTGGTTTCAAGATTCAATTCTTGATTTCTCCCACAATACTTGGTATTTTTGGAAGCTGTTTGCGGCAAATTAAGGATCATAACGAGATCTATGAATTGATTGGAGCAATTCCTTGTTTGGTGCACTTTAGGGAATTCGAGATCTAGGGCACAAATTGAGGGTTTTTGCTTAATTTGAGGTAGGGGTATCTAATTCATATTTTTGTTGTGCCTTTGTGAGTCAATTTCTTGTTAATTGTTGCTTACATGCTTCATTGGTGTTAATTTTCCCATAAAATGATTTAATTATGGTGTACAAAGTTCATGATCATAGGTGCAAGATGATTTGTATAAAAAGTATGCCTAAGTTTTGATTTTCTATGCCTATTATGTTGTTAACTTGCTAGAAATGATGTATGAAAGCATGTGTGGTTTTTCCTAGAATTTCTTGTAAAGCATGCTTAATTATATCGTATGAAAATCCCTTAATGGCATAGTATTGAAGGTATGAGACACACATGTTCATCATGGGGTATGCATGAAGGGGAATGATTTGAAATAAAGAAAAAGGGGATTTTCAGGAAGAATTTTGATTAAATGGTTTTGAGAAAACTCGGTCGCCGTGGAGTCACCAAAGGGCCGGTGTGTTAATGTAATTTAAAGAGAATTAGGGGAAACACCCTAGCGTAGTTGAGCTATCTGGGCCCCAAATGACACCGCGGGGGTACCAAGGGTCAGGGACAGTAGCCAATCCTTCTCTTGTATCACTGCGGAGTCACGAACGGACGGGTTATATTAACAGTTTGGAAGTGATGGATTTGGATTTTGAAAATGAGGAGCGACATACATGGCATCGCATATCATGGCACGGCATTGTTTATTTTGAATTTGGAATTGATGTTGTATTCTTTCCTAGTATAGTATGATCCCTATTCTCCAATCCTGTTCATTGTGTGGATTCACAGGGCTACAAGAGATGTGTCTTAGACACCACCTACTGAGTTTTATGCTCACCCCATTATTTAACATTTTTCAGGGCTCGAAAAAGAAGTAGTTGACGCAGATCCTTCCAAGGCTAAGGAAGACTAGGAACCCATTTTGGAATCTTTTGTTTATTCTCCATTCTTTTGTAAAGTCTCAAATCTTGTAAAGTGTATTTGTTTTGCAAACCATAGTTATGTGTTGTAACTACGACTCTTAAAGGCATTTTGGATGCAAATTAAGACTATGTAATTATTTTAGAATGAATGGTAAATGAAGTGTATTTTGACCCATTTTATGAATGCCTTTCTAATTGTATCATGATTTATACTGTTGCCGTAAATTCGGACTTCCTTGCATATCAAGTTTTCCTTATAGATTGGCTTGCAAGGAGCTTAGCAGTATTAAGGGTTAGGATAGCCTATAGCAGCATCCCAGGGCCTGTCGGCCGACCGATCCTCACCATCAGCCGACCGAAACCCCAAGTTTGGCTGACCGAACCCCTCCATCAGCCGACCGAAACTCCTACAATAGTAAGTCCCGAGAGCATGCAAGTTTCAGGATTGTTTAAGACGGCTGACCATGTAGGTTAGCCGACCGATCCTACCCTGTTAGCCGTCCGACCATAGGCTACCAGCCAACTGACCCCTCCCTTTTGACCTACATCTTATTCTTGGTTATACTAGCGCTCATAAACTGTGTTCTTGAAGTATTTTGGACCTTGGACTGACTTTTGAGGCATGCCTTGATGTAGGAAAAGACTGTGTTATCCTTAGTTGACCTCGGGTCAGAATAAGGACCCTGCTAACGGTTCAGACCCACGGGTTCGGGTCGTTACAACATTCTCACAAACAAGATGATGTGGACCCCAAAAACAAGCATGATATCAAACTTTTGAAAAATTTGCTCCTAGATGGCATCCAAAGGCATACAAAAAGTACTAAGCTCTCAAGTTTTGAAAATTTTCAATTCAAAGGAACATAGCCTCAAAAGATCAAAATCATCGCTAAACTCTCACATCATATCACATGCATAGAAAATTAAGTGCATCATGCTAAAAAAATCCCAAACTTAATCTGTGTATTGTCCTCAATGTGCAAAAAAGTGACAGAAGGTGGAAAGATTATACCAGATGGGCGTAGCATACAGAACCCGGCAATGGAAAGCTTAGCATTGGAATGAGTACCCCTAAACTTAGATTCCAAAAACCTATCTGAAAAGGTCACACTAGCAACAGTTAACGCATATGCATAAAGTGATAAAATGAAAGAGAGAGAATAGAGGACTGTGACTAAATAGGCATAAAGATCATGCATATTCTGGTGAAAGGTGTGGAGCTGTGGAGGGAGGAAGATGTGCATAATAGGATCGTTTCTTTCTATCAGAAACTTTACACAGAGCCTTTAGCTTGGAGACCCAAACTCGATGGTCTCCCTTTTGAGGCCATTTCTTAGTTGGATATAAATGGGCTTGAGATTCCTTTTACTGAAAAAGTAGTTCTAAAGGCCTTATCAAGTTGTAATAGGGACAAAGCTCCGGGGCTTGACAGGTTTACTATGCATTTTCTGATGGAAAGTTGGGTGGTTGTGATAAATGAAGTGATGGGCACCTTTCAGGAGTTTCATTCTACTGGCGTCTTTGAGAAGTCGCTAAATGCCTCATTCATTGCCTTCATCCCTAAGAAGGGAGACGCTTCTGAAATTAAGGAATTTCGACCAATTAGCTTAGTGGGTTGTATTTAAAAACTCATAGCTAAGGTGTTTGTTCTTAGGTTGAGGGAAGTTATGGATGAGATTATCTCAGATTCCTAGAATGCTTTTGTTGGAGGACGGCAAATTCTTGATTCAATTCTTATTGCAGGCGAATGTGTGGATACTAGATTACGAAATGGTGTTCATGAAGTTTTATGCAAACTTAATATTGAGAAAGCATATGATCATGTGAACTAGAATTTCCTACTATACTTATTCCAAAGAATGGGGTTTGGAAGTAGATGGAGGAAATGGATTGAGACATATCTTTCGTCTACCCAGTTTTCAATTCTTATGAATGAATCTCCAGCTATTTTTTTTTTTTTTTTGTGCACTAGGGGTACAAGACAAGGTGATCCTTTATCATCTTTCCTCTTTCTAATTATTATGGAAGGCTTAAGTAGACTTATGCGCAGGGCAGAGGATCTTGGTCTCATCAAGGGATTCATGGTGGCAAGAGATATAAACCATCAGGTGGAGATCTCTCATTTAATTTTTGCAGATAACACCTTGGTTTTCTGTGATGCACATGTGTCTCAACTCAGATATTTGAAGTGCATCCTGGTTTGTTTTCAGGTGCTTTTCGGGCTAAAGGTAAACGTGGCTAAAAGTGTGCTTGTTTCAGTTGGAAATTTCGGATATCTCTTCTTTAGATGTAGTACTTGGGTGTAGGGTGAGTTCCTTTCCTATTCCTTATTTAGGTTTGCCCCTAGGGGTCTCTTCCAGGATAGTGGGGAGCTGGGATTCTGTGATTGATAGGTATGTAAAGAGGTTGGCAGAATGGAAGAAGTAATACTTGTTTAAGGGGGGTAAAGTAACTCTTATCTAGAGCACTTTATCGAGCCTCCCCACATATTTTCTATCTATGTTCCAAATTCCATGCTCCGTTGCTAATAGAATTGAAAAAATTCAAAAGGATATTCTTTGTGGCGGAAGAGGAGAAAAGTTCAAGTATCACCTTGTCAGATAGAAGCAAGTCTGCAAGCCTATGAAGTTGGGTGGTTTTAGTATTAGATGATTGATTCCTTTTAATCAAGCTCTCCTGGAAAAATGATTGTGGAGATATGGGAAGGAAAGACATTGTCTTTGGCGAAGGTTAGTCTCATGTCGGTATGGGGAAAATGTTGGCAGTTGGACTACCCATCCAGTTTCTCTTGTGGGAGGAGTAGAGGCGTGGAAATCTATTCGAAAGGGATGTGATGTCTTTTCCCCACATGTCAGATTCAAAGTTTGTGATAGTAGTTGCGTCAGTTTTTTAAAAGATCTTTGGCGTGGGGATCAGCCATTATTTCGTACATTTCCCATATTATACAGTATTGCAGTTGATAAACATACCTATGTAGCTAATTGTTATCGGCTTGATAGTAGTGAGATTACGTGGGGTATGCATTTTCGGCATTCATTTTAGAATTGGGAGTTAGACGAGGTAAGTGTTTTTTTGAATCAATTGTATCGGCAGAAAAGAATTGGCAGGGGTTATGACAATTTGATATGGATTCCCTCTCCTCACGCTCACTTTGAAGTAAGATCTTTGCTCTTATGTCTGTCTAATTTTGTCAGCCTTGACTTCCCATGGAAGACCATCTGGCACTCTATGGCTCCAACTAGGATGACATTCTTTGTATGGACCGCTATTTAGGGCAAGATATTGACGATTGATAATTTGAGGAAGAGGGGAAATTATTTTGTTAATTGGGGTTATCTTTGTAAGCAAGATGGGGAGTCAGTTGATCATCTCCTAATGCATTACCCCATGGCGCACTACTATTGGAATCTTATTCTTAGGTTGTTTGGCATGCATTGGGTGTGATGCCATATTCTTATAAGGACTCGATTCATACTTGGAGAAGATGTCATGTGAGTAGGGGTGTACGCGATTATTGGAGAACCATCTCACATTGCGTCTGGTGGTGCATTTGGAAGAAGAGAAATAGTTGAATGTTCGAAGGGAAGAAGTCGTTTATGGTGATATTGAAACTTTTTATTATTCGTTCTCTTTTTAATTATGTGAAGAGGAAGTTCATATTACTCTTGATGATTTAATTACTTTTTTGGATTCTTTGGGGTCTTAGCTCTCGGTTCTACTAATGTCTTAGGAATGCATTTCCCTCGAACGCCTTTTTTAATTCATTATTACTTATAAAAAAAAAGGATATCATGCATATAACAATATCAAAAATAACCAAAAGTATCCCAGACAAATATCCAAAAATCAATATCACATGTATTAATAAGTACATCCCCAAAATAATAACAGAGTATGTTAAATAATGTCGAAGGAGCACATAAGAACAGAGTAAATGAGAGAGAGATAGAGAATGCAAAATCATGGAGTCCCGCCCGGTGGTGGCTGAATCATCTTTGTAAGTTGCTGAAGCATATCTGTAACTTCCTCACGAAATCTAGTTAGTGTAAGCTGCACCTCCATACGGAACTGAGTAATGTCCCTCCTCATATCTGTCACACCCCTCTCTAGGTCATCAGCCCTCCGTCCCATCCAAGCGCTGAATGTAGTAAAGTCTGACTGGAGCTGAGTTAACTCGCTCATAAAGCTGGATTCAGAACTGGCGTACTGGGAGAGCGAGTCTGACTGAGACAGTGGATCCTGAGGAGGATGTGAAGATGAGCCCGGCTGAAACTGAGAAGTGATGGGTTGCTCTTGATGCTGCTGTGTGGAGAAGGATGTGTGTTGCCGACTCCTGGAAAGAATAACAATATAAATATCAATGCACAGTTCCAAAAAATGGAAAGAGAATAAAAAATAACACAAAGCATGCTTGAATCAGATAGAAACAGAGAATATACAAAGATGAGCATGCTTGTGCAAGAATTTAACAAGAAAGCTTCAAGAATAGCATTCAAGCCATTTTCTGAAAATTTAGAACTAACACATGCTTCAATTTGCAAGAAAGGATCATGGCACATTAACAATTTTGAGCATTCAAGAGGGTGCAATAGTAGTAAAGAGAAAATCACAAAAGTCAATTTGAAAATATTTGTCAGAATGTAGCCAATATGAAAAGCCTAGGATGTGATGTGCACAAGGCATGCAACGTGAGTTCACAAACCTAAAATTTAAGAGATTTTGCAAATTTCAATCATGTAGACCCTAGGATGATATCTATCATTTCCTAAGCAAGAACGTCTACAATGTTCATCATGAAGTCCAATGGAGTAAAAAGATGAGATGGAGGAAACAAGTTCATGGTAAAGTCTATTTAGAACTCCAGAAAGCATATACATCATGAAATAGAGAAATAAGTGCAGGACATGGTTAACTACACTTCAATCCTAAGCAAGTGATGATACATAAGTTTCTAAATGAATCTTAGACATGAAATGCAACATTTGAAGCATTTGGATAATTGATACACAATTTAATATGCCAACTCCATTCACAACAACAATCCCATTCTCCTTTTGGCAACAAAACTACGACATTTTGATCATTCAAGGCTCGCGACCCCTTTTAAGCATTATAGAGAACAAAAATGATTGCTTATGGCTCGCGACCTCTGTACACTTCAAAGATATCAAAAATGTTGTCACTTATGGCATGTGACCCCCTTCTTTGCAAAATTGAAGTATACAAATGGTACAGAATGAGAAGAGTGAGAATCTTACCCCTTTGCATAAAAAAACAATGGCCGGTTAAGGCAAAGATGTCAATTTTTAACTCAAGCCCTTACAAGCTTTCACAAATGAAATATAAAGATATATGACAAGTAAGATGGCATTTTAAGTTCAAATTTCCTGAACTTAACAACAAAGGATAATTTGGTTCAAGTTTAAACACATTTAAGTCCAAAATAACATTCCCCCCAAACTTATTTCAAAATGGCTTTTTACAAGTTCAAATCAACCTACAAGTGTTCACCAAGTCCAAGCAATGCCAATGATATCCTAGAAATGTACTTTCGAAATTTTAGCTCTCAAGATCCCCTAAAACAATTTGAAGTTCCATAAATCATGATATTGCAACAAAAGAGTATTCAAGAAAGTAGCATGCTTTCCAAACCAAACCAACTGTGGGCTCTATTGGCAGAAGGGACGAACGCAAGTTGATTAAGGAGGAACATTGACTGCGTATGATGGCGAGTGAGGTAAAACGAAGAGATAGGGGAAGGGTGGGAAAGGAAACTCAACCAATCGAGTTGCAGAGGGCAGCCAAAATGCAAGAAAGGGGAAGAAATGGGCATCACATGCAGAGGGTGCGTAGAAAGGGAGTTACAAAAAGTTGTATATGTGGCGAAGGATCCCGATCCCATCAATTATAATGGGTGGATGACAGCTAGGGGATTACGTGTCAGTGCAAAAGAGGATAAGGAGTTGAGGTAGCACATTTAAAATTTAGGTGGGATAGGCTGTAATGGGGCATCAAAAGTCTCAAATGTTATGGGCCAAGTCTTGTAGGACAATCCAATTAGTATCATGTGTGAAGAAAGATTGAACCAGTAGTTCATGACTCATTTAATAGGTTTGGGCCTTTATAACTGGGCCCATATGTTGAAACAGAGAGTGGTTTTCGAGACTTAAACTAAGCGCACATGAAACAACAGCAGCAGGTAATGAAGAATGACCCCAAAAGAAGTATCAATAAGAGGGGAGGCTTCAACTGTAAGGAGCAATGGGCCGGGACTAATATAACTCTTCCAAAGTAAAAGAAATATGGGGAGTTCCAGCGGGTTGGGCCTGACAGTAGAAGAAAACCTCAGCCCAATCCTGTTGAGAAGGTGAAGGATCAATACAAGCCAAGACTTATATGACATGGTTCCCTTAAGTGGAAACTCCAAGGGGCTGAGAAACAAAAAATGGGTTGTAAACTCAAACCCACGAACTTCTCTTCTTCTACACCCTCTGCTCTTGGTCTGTTTGAGAAGTTTGGTACAGGAAACATGGTGGGAGGCTTTGGTCGGCTAGATCCTCAGAGGGTGTGTGGCACCGAATTATGGCAAAGTTGCATGTGGTTCAGAAGAGGAGGGAGTTGAGCCAGTCAGGTTAATGCAGCGAAGAGTGGGTAAGGAACCATGTACTGCAGAGGTGGAGGAAGAAGGCTCCGACAGGGGATTGGCTTTCTTTGATATTGAAAAGTGTAGGCAGTTGAGGGTATTCTCAAGTGGCAGAAATGATAGTGGGACGTGGGGTTCAACTGCTGCTTTAAAAGAGTTCCGCAGATGCTACTCCACAAACAGAACTAAGACTATATAGTGGTTGGTACAAGATGTGGATAGAGGAGTAGGAGCAGATGGAGGAAGGATAATTTAGTGAATACAACGGTTTCAGCAGCTCACCAGTATAGGGCAAGATATGAATGCTGAGCTGTGAAGGATAAAAATGCCGGCCAATTACAATGACAAATTATGTGATCAACTTATCAATCTAAAACAAGGTAGAATGTCAGTTGCAGATTATATGCAAAATTTTGATCGCTAAAGAATAGAAGAATATGGCAAAACCATTTGAGCACAACAAGTGCTTTCAAGAAATATCCGTTGATTTGTGCACAATGGGCAAACTTTCTTAGCATTATATTAATGTATGGTCAAACATGTCATTTCATATCAAAGGCAGAGAATATTTTCAGCTTTCTTTTTCTTTTTCTTTTTTTATAAGTAATATATGACATAGAAGGCATTCAAATGTGGAAAGCAGCCCAAGGAATAATAAAAGAGCCAAATAGGGCCCCTAATCTCTCAATATGTCCAAAAACTCAACTCTCACCTCTAAGGATTTACAATTTCTCCCAACAACCCAGAAAAAAAGTGAGCTAAGAATAAACAATTTAAACACCCCAATAGGAGTGTCCTCACCCTCAGAAGGGTCTCCTATTGCGTAAATTTCTAAAATTTAAGGGAACAAACCCCACATCAATCCTACATAAGATCCTGCTAGCAACCTTTTTTAAAACTACAAAAATTATCCTAAAAGTGCAGAATGAATTGTCGTAAACCAGAGAGAGAGAAAGAGAGACTCCCTAGAAACATGTAAATCTTAGGTCTCTAGAATCATCCATATGTAAAACAACATAGGATTCCTTTCAAAATCTTTTAAATTTTTATCAATCTTTAATTTTCAAAAAGAATTTGGCTTCTGAAAATTAACATTCTTTTCTCAACGACCTTTTTTAATTGAAAACAAGGATACTTCAAGAGACCATTATTTTGCAATATGAGCAACCAACTAAAGAAAAAAAATGGTATGGGGGACCTTATCCTGTTCTATCACAAGAAGACCCTCCTTGTCAAAGAATCTTATCAAGATTTTCTAAATAAATTATTCCACAAGTTTTTCCTCTACTCTAGTTCTAAATACCGTGTCTGCTCTTAAAGTGCTAATTTTTCAATACTTGCTATTTTTTGTTTATAATATAATAATTATTATTTGTATACTATTTTATCCTCTCTTTTTTCCAAATCATGTCCAATATTAAATCAAATTAAAAGAATGATGAAATGAATTCATTATAGTAAAATAATATAAAATATTTATACAATTAAATAATTATTTGTTTAGAATCTTATTTCTTACCACTAAGATAGATTTTCTATTTTCCATCTCAATTATTGATATATAGTTTAAACAAGAAACATATAGTCGCGTATTTGAATTAAGACTTCGGGGTGGAGACTCTTTCTAAGCCAAGTAATATGCTCAAATGAAATAAATTTCTTAGAAAACCAGCTATCTCTGGAAGTTTGATGGAGAAGGTTTGGTAAATAATAAATAGATTATTATTATAATAAAAAAACCTTAGCTGTATTATGTCACCGCTATTGGAAACACAAGCAACAAAAGCATCAACATTATCACTATTAGAAGATCAATCATTGTCAAAGTTTGATTAGTTCAATAATGTATTTGTCTATGCTTTCAATTTAGCTCCTTCCTTTTTTACAAGAAATACTTTCACAGACCCACTTTGACCCCTTATGAGGACTTGAACCATCGACGTTTAACTTTGGAAGGTGAGGAAATACCACTAGGTTGTAGATTATAGCCATTAGTAATGTTCTTTCTTTCTTTCTTTCTTTCTTTTTTCAAGAAAACAGTTTCAATATCTCTAGATTCTTCTTTAATAGATTCCAATGCAAAGCTTCAATTTTTTTGAGTTCATAATATTCCAGTAAATTAACTTCCTTTTTTAGTTCCATTGGATAAGAGGGAGAACAAAAGACAGCTCTAGCATTTGCTTCCATTCCCTCCAATCTTATGTCTATATGCAGACAAATCTACTCTCCAGATGAATTTTATTAGTATTTGAGTAAATATTAGCTTGTTTCCTTCTAGAGTCGCATTGCATCAACTGCCAAAAGCTCTAAGAAATTGGCAAGAGGCACTAAATTAGCATCTAGATGCGATAGAAAATAGGTACTGATAGACGAGCACGGGGAAAAGACTGGGAATGCATGCTCACTAATACTATAAAATGATGAAATAGGTGAAGATATAGTTAGTGGTATTACTATAGAATCCACATCAAACTAAGAGTATGTGAGAAAAGACTAAGAAAATAAAAAATATAGGCTAGATACTACAAAGGAGAGGGTTATTTTGCACAATTGATGATCCAATGAGAGGGGTCATTTGCATGATTCTGATACAAGGTTTTTTGGCTGTAAAAATAGTTCAGAGAAGTTTGTTGCAAACAGGTTGATAGTTCGGGTTTTTCTTTTTTAAAATTTACCCAATATCTTGTTAGAAATTAACAGTAGATCAAATACAGCTAAATTGACTCTTTTCTAATTAAAGAGAGTAAATATCCCAAAAGTTTCAATATCTGAATCAAAGAACAATAAAAAAAGAAGAATGAAGAATGAAGACTCTAAATATATATTTATAGATAACAAATGAAATAGGATTGTGGTAGACATCTAGTAATTACTAATTACTACAAAGTTAATCTGAGATGTTCCACACTAATATCAATAATCAATCATTCAGATACTTTGGTAGACAACTAGGGAATAAAGTAGATTCGTGAGGAACAAAGTCAGTTGACCAGCGAATCGAGTCCTGAAAACTCAAGTGGAGAATTTGGTGGATTGATCTATGTCAAAGAGTAACCAGGGGTTCTAGAGTTTGGAAACTTGAATCTAAATGTAAACTTCTTTCATATAGTACATTTCGTTGGTTGGGTTATATAGTTGATCCAAACAACAAAGCATATTCACACTCCCTCAAGGTCTAGATCACAAACATTTAGAGACACTACATGGGCACCTAGGGTTTAGATCCTTACAACTATCAAACATAATAAAACAGATAAGTAATTTTTTTTTTTTTTTTTGATAAGTTAATAAAATAGATAAGTAATTATAGTTCTGAAAAGAAAATGAGTATTGGAAACATTTACAGCAATATGATCAGCTTCCCAAAAAGAAACTTTTCAACAGAGCAGGGCGAGGAAATGTAAAAGTTCTTTTTTTAAAAAAAGAAAAAAAAAAAAAAAAAAAAAAAAAAAAGGTGTGCGAATCACTTACCGCACCACTGCATTCCTGATAGCATATAGTCTAGGAAGTAAATGAGTTTTGGTGGAGAAAACTTGAGCTTTCACTCGGATTTTCCGGTTCTGCCTATCAACTTGTTTAGAAACGAACCAGAGATTGGTGCTCCTCTCCCTCTCCCTCGTCATTGCCATTGCCAATGTATCTTCCATCACGCCAAATGACATAGAACTCATTACCACGGAAATGAACAAGAGGCGGCCTATCATATGTCCTGTCAAGTATAAAACGCTCTAAACCTACGATAGTGGTGCTGGCCGACACTCTGAGATCCATATCATACACAACTAACTCGGCCCGGGGCTCTCTCACTTTGCAAATCCAGTACAGAGTATTCTCCAAAACTGCCGCTCCAGTTTCATTCCTCTTGAAATCAAAAGCAGAGTCCAGTGACTGCCAAGAACCACCTTTTGTATCACAGGCAAGGAGGCATTTGGTGCGGATCGAAGCACAGATAATCCTTTTTGACAAGATCCTTTTTGTACTTAAGAGACGGAATTGGATGTGGAGGTGGAGTGATAATTTCCCACATATTGTTGATTGGGTCGAAAACCTCTATCTCTGGACCTTTACCGTTGAGACGGCCAAAGACATAGATCTTGTCATCAGCGGTGACTGCATGAGGGTACCACCTCGCAGCGTTCATCGGATCAACAAACCTAAACTGCCTCGATGACATATCGGCGGCACGGACTTCTTCAGAGTAATAGCCATAGATGTTATTACAACCTCCAATACTGTAAATGGTTGAGCCAAGAGCGACACAGCAGCTCCACATTGGAGTCTCCACCTTCTCCCACGGTTTGATTACCGCCGTAAACGGAGGAGGATAACCTTCTCCTCCAGATCTCTTCCTTTTCCTTTCCCTGCTCTCATTTAATTTAATTTCGTACCAGTCCATCTTTCCTCCATAAAAGTTGTGTTTACACGCACGAATATAGACAGTTTTCTCAACCACGCCAACGGAGATGGATTTGAGTCTTCAAACGTCATCCATTCAGGAACCATAGATGGATTTGGATTTCGGAATTGATTTGTGTCTCGGACCGTCATCGATTCATGAACCAGAGGGAACATCATCGATTCACCAACAAAAGATGGATTTGGGTCTGCTGTTGCCATCTCGATCTTCAGCCAAGCCGCCTCAAGTTTGTGTATTTATCTTAAAAAAACAAAAAACCAAGAATAAGAGGTATCTAAATCAGAGTTACATTTTAAATTAAACATAAATAAATATTTGGTAAGAATAGAAAATTTTAGAGAAGCTAAAGAAGTGAAATTGGACTATAAATACGATAGTAAGTTAGAATAGTTTGTAATTGGAGAGCAACTGTACCATAAATAAAAATCCTAACAATGACAACAACCAATCCTCATATGTAAAATTTATAGACCAGTTTATAGAAATATTTAAGAATTTAATTCTGGATAATGTGGTTATGGTTTGCTCCTCACCCATTAGACCCACCATTAGGAGGATTGATGTGTATGAAACACACCGATCTCTTCCTTTTGCTTTCCCTGGTCTCATTGCTTAACTTAATTTCGTACCAGTCCATCTTTCCTTACACGAACAAATATAGACAGTTTTCTCAACCACCGACGCCAACGGAGATGTATTTGAGTCTTCGAACGTCATCCATTCAGGAACCATAGATGGATTTGGATTTCGGAATTGATTTGGGTCTCGGACCGTCATCGATTCACGAACCAGAGATGGATTTGGGTCTGCTGTTGCCATCTCGATCGTCAACCAAGCCGCCTCAAGTTTGTGTATTTATCTTAAAAATAAAAAATAAAAACCAAGAATAAGAGGTATCTAAATCAGAGTTACATTTTAAATCAAACATAAATAATCTACAATTGTAAATATTTGGTAACATTTGAAAATTTTAGAGAAGCTAAAGAACTGAAATTGGGTTACACATACGTGTTGAACATGAAGGCCAAAGATAGCAAGTTAGAACAGTTTCTAATTGGAGAGCAACTGTACCATAAATAAAAAAGCCTAACAATGACAACCACCAATCCTCATATGTAAAAGTTATAGACCAGTTTATAGAAATATTTAAGAATTTAATTCTGGATAATGTGGTCATGGTTTGCTCCTCACCCATTAGACCCACCATTAGGAGGATTGATGGGTATGAAACACACAAATCATTGTAAATACAAAATAAAAATACTAATTTGACAAGAATAATGTGTAGGAATTAGATATATGGTTTGTATAGGAAAAAAATAAAATAAAATTTATACAACTTATACAAGCTAAATGGAAGTGTAGTTCAAGATATATGGAATATGGCCAACAACTAGCTTTTAATGAGTCAAAAATGATTAATACAAGCCCATAATAATCCGCGGTAATGTAACCTGTATAATAAGTGAAAATCCAATTAATTTTAAAAAGGGTTCTGTGGAAATCAGAACACAACTTGTGTCATATAATTGATCAAAGTTCTAAAAATATCGTTTTATAAATCTAAAAAAGTGAACCTAATTTAGATCGTAACAGAAATCATAAATACAAACCTACAATGAATATCGTGATTTACCAATGCTTAAACCCAAAAAGAAAGTTTCAATTCATGCCTAATCACACGCAATAATAAAAATTACACAAACACATATACCTACAGCATAAAATATCGAAGAGAAACAACAATATCACAACATATCTGTATAGAAAATTCAATTCAAACTGAAAAAGGAAAACATGGAAGATCCGGAACATAATTTGATTCACGGGTTAAGTGCAAAAAAAACCCCTCATATATAGATTTTGTGCAAAACAAGTCCCTGCTTTTTGAAAAAGTGCATGCAAGTCCACAAAATTCAAAAAAGGTACATAACCGGTCCCTCTGACAACTTTTTACAAAAAGTAAAACTGAAAACCCCATTTTTACTCTTTTGTTTCCCATTTTGCCCCTCACCATATGTGCATAAAAGTCCCTCAGCATTTGTGCATATAAGGCCCCCATACTATGTTGAATAGTGCTCACATCCTGCGCAGGGAGGATGAACTTCATCCTCCCTGATGACGTGGCCACCTCTGAGAATGACACCTGTCCAAAACTAAAAAACTGCATTAAGATGGGCAAGACCCATTTTTGCGGGTTAAACCCGTTTCCCTCAAATCTCACACGTATGTGCTCTCTCTCTTTCTCTGTCTATATTTCCTGTTCATGAGAACGGTGGAGAGAAACGGCGATGCAAGAGTCTGGCAGAGATGAGGACGGTGAAGGACGGTTCTTGGAGGATCTTGGATCTGTGAGCGAGTTGGTAGTGTGGAGGAGAGCTCGGAGGCGGCGCCGTCAAAGAAGAGGTTTTCTTGGAAGAGGAAGAGGGTTCTAGAGTGGTGTGAACAGTCGCAGCGGAGCTGAGGACGAGAATAGCAGAGGGCGGCGGGTGCGTGATACTGAGGGTAACGCGTGAATGTGACGTGCCCCTGTTGGTGGTGCGAGTAGATCTGATGCCCTATCGTTGTAACTCCGATGGCAATGACGAGGTTGGTTCGTAGCGAGGTTCAGGTTTAATCACGGTGGCGAGGTGGTTCACGGTGACGGTAGGTTCATGGCGACGATTAGTGGCGCATGACGGTGGTGACCACGGCCATGACGATTTTTGGAGATAGTGGTGTACCTGTATTTGGTGATTTAAGAGTTGCACATTTGGTCTGAAATATCTGGTTAATTCTCGATTAATTTTGTTGTTAAAGGTTTTTGATCAGTGAAGCTGGCAAATTTAGAGTGAAAATACTTGTCAGAATTGCTCTTTTCGTCCAAAGGAAGATTTGGTTATGTACAAGCAGGCTTGTGGATGAAAAAGAGGTAAAAAAAATTGATTCCAAAAATAAAAAAAAACGCCAGTGTAGATCCTCTCCACCATATCCTCCTCCGCATCTTCAATTTTTTCCTCTGCCTTCCCTTTTATTTGGATGGCATTTTTTTTTTTATCTTAATCCCCAATCCCTTCACTATTTTTGCTCATATTCATTTATCTGGCACAAAGCATTCAACCACATTCCCCAATTTACAATGCCCATTAATCATTGATTTAGACAAAAAAAAAAAAACAAAAAAAAATAAATAAAAAAAACAGCGAACCCAAACTGGAACAACGGGCAATGAAAACTGAAAGATACGGGTTTTGATTTTTTGAACAATCTGAAATGATATGCCGATATGGGTTTTGAACTTTTGATTGTTGCAGCAGATAGATAAACTAAAATATATGGGTTTTGAACTTCTGATTCTTGTAGTTTGCAGTTGCAGAGAGAGGGGGGGGGGGGTGGGGAGTTCAGAGTTGAGAACGAGAACATCCATGGAGGCTGAGGCTGAAATGATTTGCCCTAAAACCCATAGATTTGCCCTAATGATATATGGTGTGCGTGCGTGCACACACACACACACACATATATATATAAAGGACAAATTTATTTATATTTTAAAATATGAAAGGGCATGTTTGGTTTTAGATTTAATTATATTTAGGTTTAGGTTATCCCAATTTTATACAATTTGAGATTTATATTATCCTTCTGCCAAACAAACCCCATTTTATACAAATTTGGACAAAAGGGTCATTTTACATGGCTTGTATTATAATCATTAATTTATTCAACTGAAGTGAGGGTATTATCATCATTTTACACCACCAGGGACCCAATCGCACCAAATTGATAGTATAGGGTTTTTTTTTTACCACACAGGGACTGATATGCACTATATCGATAGTAGTTTGGGGTTTTTTGCACTTAACCCTTTGATTCACAGATCTTTAAAAAATTATTGAATAAAACTCAGTAATCGAAAAACTAAAAATCAAAAAGTACAAAGAAAGTGTGGAGCAAAAATGTATCATATACTATAGTATAATTTATTTAAATATTATTTGTAAATATAATATTTATTATAATAATCTATATATATTTATATAGTTTAATATCAAGAAAATAAAACTATAAAATAAAAGAACCTGTTAAAGTCGAGGCTAGAATTTAATTCTATAGCCTTAAGACAGATACGCCCCGCTAACGGACTCTTCGGCGTCTATCTCCCAGGATACAACGACTTTTCTTCCTTTGGTAGTAGCACTTCAAACCAATGGAATAGGCGAACCGGCTTGGTGTAGTACTCTCAGTTGAACTCAGACTCGGAAACCAGGATTGAACCCTAACTCGGAGACCAAGGTTCGAACCCAATCCAAACCAGTTTAGGTTGAACCTAAACCAGTGGCTGAACCGAACAAAGATGAATTAGAAGAAGAGAAGAAGATTTCTGAATTGATGTGAATTAAAATGAACCCAATGATGGGTATTTATAGGCTTGTTGGTGCCTATTCTGAATTGGTGCACCCATAGTCCGAATAGGTGCAACCATTGTTGACCAATCAAAATTAAAAATCTGTTGGTGGTTTTTAATTTGTAAAGGGTGCAACCCTTGGTTCAAAAATAAAACTGATTTATGGTTTAAATAAACCCAAGCCGTTTTAATTCTGATCCAGCCCAGCCCTTTAATTTCGTCCAATCCAGCAAGCAAACAATCCAACTCGGCGGCCATTAATTCAGCCCATTTTGATAAGTCCAGCAACAAAATAAAATTCAACCACACAGGCCCATCCCAACTTTGTGTAAAAAGTTAAACCCATTTCACAATCAAGCCCCGCCCCGCCCTAGCCCGGACCGGGCGGGCGACGCGCGCGTGTGTGGTAGTTGGTTCGGATCTAGGCTAGCCTAGGTCCTCCCCCTCTTAAAAACTTGGGTGCCCTTGGGCCCAAAGCTAAATCCCATACTAGACATATATATACTCAAGGTTGCTTTGCTACTTTTTCGATGTGGGACAAGCATTTCTCACTTTATTCACACCCATTTAGGCTTTATAAATCACTTACTTTGGAGCCAATTTCTCATTCACCCGGAAACGGATTTGAGAAAATAACTATACCACGTTCATCTCCTCGCAGAGAGGAACACGCTCGTCAATAGATTCGCAAAAAATTCTTAGCGGAATCTTTTAAAAATCCTTCCAAAGTTTGCGTTTTCTAATGCCGTTTCCAACAGAAAGAACTATAGATATCAAGTCCATGAATCTATACATATATATATATATATATATATATATATATATAATCAGAGAGAGGATCTGACGTGCAAAGAGAGAGCTTACGAAACCCTAGCCGCGAGAGAATAGAGCGAAGGAAAATGAATAAAGAAAAAAAAGCAGCAAGAGAATAGAAGCGAATAGAGCTTACGAAACCCTAGCCGAGAGAGAAAGCGAGAAGCGACGAGAGAGATTGGGGGTAGAGAGAGAGAGAGGGGTTGAGAGACAAAGTGAGGAGCGATTGGAAAATGAAAAATAAAAAATGAATAATAAAAAGGATAAATTTCACCAAACCTCAATACTATCACTTTTTGTATCAAATACTCTCAATCTACTCTAGAAATCCCAACGCTATGAAAATTGATCAAATTGCACCATGTTTATGATAAAAGGATGAAACTACCCTTCTGATATACCAAATCAATTAAAAAATCCAAAATAAATATTTTGCCAATTACTAAAATACCCTTGGTGACATTTAAGTCACCAAACACAAAATGCTGTCGTTTTATGTGTATATATTATATGTATAAAAGGCATCATATATGTGTTTCAAGTTGACTTTTCCTTCCAATTCTTTATATAAGAGAATGGTAAGAATATGAAAATTTACCAAATCAAAAACATTATCAGAAACTCAAAATGCGTATGACTCTTACACAACTCCTATATTCTATATCTCAAATCTAAGCCACGAGATGAACTCTCTCTCATCAAATTCTATCCAAATGTTTCCTCTTCCTCCTAACACTCCTCCTCTTCCTCCTAACACTCCTCCCTTCGTCTTTTGCCCTATATTTCCTCTTCAATTCCTTCAATGCCACCGTCGAGCTCAACCTCAACCTCATCGACGACGCTCGGCTCGAGTCCTCCACCATCAGACTCACTAACGACTCCAACCAGTTCTCAATCGGCCGAGTCTTCCACCGATCTCGAATCCCAATGAAACCCACTTCCAATTCCACCACCATCTCTTCCTTCTCTACCTCCTTCGTCTTCTCCATCTTTCAGGAGGTTAGTTATAGTCCCGACTTCGTCCTCTCCAACTCAACCTCACCCCCTTGCGCCATCTCCGGCCAATACTTTGACCTTTTCTCCAACTCCACCTCACCCCCCCCCCCCCCCCCCGCGCCATATCCGGCCAATACTTCGGCCTTTTCTCCAACGCCACCGTCGCCCCCTCCTCGTTGTCAAATTCGACACCGACCGGAACCCAGAATTTAACAACCCAAATGACAATCACATTGGAATCGACCTAAAAAACATCGAATTGAAAGTCACAGTTAGAGAACTCCACCAATAGTAGTGATCTCATCCCTGTAGATATTCGAAATGGGTAGAACATACATGCCTGGATTGAATTCGATAGATCACACCTTCCAATCCCTCTAATCGCAAGTTTTTGTCAACCCCTTCCCATCCCTCTGATCGCCCCTTCAGATTCATTATTATACATATACATATAATATATACCAACCAAATAAAGAATTTCGTGAGATGGGTTTAATCAAAACGACTGTTCAGTGCCAATATATATATACATGGTGTGGCCTTTGTTGTGAGGACAACCAAAGCACAATTGTGTGTAGTGTGGCCAAGTTTGAATTTATAGAATGCCACTAATACCTCTAACTACTAATATAGCTAGGGTGAGTAGGGATCGTCCCAAGGTAAAAGAAGCAGTATTTATATGGAAACAGCGTATAAAACGGATACAGATGAAGGGAATCATTACGCTTTGTTTGGTGTTTGGAATAAACTAGAATTCCAACTAAATGAATTACCTTTTTATGTTGGAAAATGATATTTATGCCGATTGATTTGGCCAATTTCATAGGCAGAATCCTAGGTGGCATCTAACTGGCACTCCTCTCCCCTCTTTCTCTCTGTAACCTCTCAGGCCAGACAACGGTTCCAACACCATCTTTTGGGTCTTCTTCCCACTCTCTTTCTCTCTCCAGCTTCATCGCCTTACGTACTGTAGGTGCAAGCAACGGTGGCTGTCTTTTGGTAATGTTGGTGCGAACAAAGGTGGCCGGAAGACCGGGTGTCAAAGATGGTGTTAGGAAACTAATACCAATTAGGCCGTCTTCTTTCTTAATTAGTATTTAATTATTTTAGTATTTAATTATTTTAGGTACTATGCTATTTCATTATTTATTTTCTTAATTCATCTATATAAGAATGCTACTGTAATAGAATTAGGGTATTGAATTTAATAAAAAGTAAGAACTTTAGTGGCTAATCCCCAATGCAAAGGATTATTGGTGGCTGATCTCCAATCAACGGATCACTTTAGGGTCTAGGTCTCTATCGAAATGGTATTAGAGCATTCGATCTGAGATTGCCCAAAACAAATATATATATATATATTTTTTCTCTTTCCTCTTATTAGTATTATCAATATGACGGTGAAGGAACTTGAAGAACAGGTTGCTGCCCTTACTGCTAGGATGGATGCGATAGTGCGTGATAATCAAGCTAGTTTTCAGCAACTTCAAGCAGCTGTGTTGGCCTTAACAGATAGACAAGCAGGCCAAACAAATCATGTTCGTCCCCAACGTAATGATCACATACCAGTACAGGGTGATACCCTTACTCGACCGCTTCAACGTGACGAGCATGTTCTTCAAAATGATGTCAACCCTAATCCAAATATACAACGTGGCGATGATGTTGATCAGTGTGCTGGTCCAATTATTCAAGGTCGGACTCTCCGAATCAATTTTCCAAAATTTGATGGTGTTGATCCTGAAGGGTGGTTGTTTCAAGCCGAACAATATCAGCTACTCAATGGTATTTTAGATGAACAAATGGTTCCATTGGCTGCAGTGCATCTTCAAGGAGATGCTATTTCTTGGTATCGTTGGATTAAACAATCCCTTGGTATTTTGAATTGGCAACAATTTTCTCGAGAAATATGTACACGCTTTGGGTCTAGACAACATATTGACCCTTGTGCTTCGCTAGCCAAACTCTCTCAAACAGGCACTATTCGTGAATTTATTACTGAGTTTGAGCGACTTACTAATATGGTTCCGGGTTTGCTTGAGTCACATCAAGTTAGTTTTTTTGATGCTTCATCATAAGTTACAAGGAATCCATCATCGTAATCAGGAGACATAATTGGATGTGAAGGTGCAGTGATACTTTCCCACATATTGTTGATCGGGTCGAAAACCTCCATCTCTGGACCTTTTCTGTCGCCGTGGAGACCGCCAAAGACATAGATCTTGTCATCAGCGGTGACTGCGTGAGGGCTCGACCTCGTAGCGGTCATCGGAGCAACATACCTAAGCTGTCTCAATGACATATCGGCGGCACGGACTTCCTCAGAGTAATAGCCATCGATTTCATCACAACCACCAATACTATAAATGGTTGAGCCAAGAGCGACACAGCAGCTCCACAATGGAGTCTCCACCTTCTTCCAGATCGGTTCGATCGCCACTGTAAACGGAGGAGGAGGAGAATCTTCTCTTACTCTCTTCCTTTTCCTTTCCATTTTCCTTTCTCTTCTATCATTGCTTGATGATAATTGAACTTCGTACCAGTCCATCTCTCCTCCATAATAGTCGGTTTTAGACAAACGAATATAGACAGTTTTCTCAACCACCGACGACGAAGATTAATTTGAGTCTCGGAACCTCATCACATCAAGAACCAAATATGGATTTTTGGGTTTCACAATTGGAACAATTAATGAGAGCCTTGAGGGTCATATATACCCTCATATATCTATATCTATATCTATATCTATATCTATATCTGCATTATAACAAATTTCTTTCTTATATCTACACTATAACAAATTTCTTTAACATTTTTCAAATTTAAGTCAATATGCATATCTATTATCTATATCTTCTATATACACTAGTGTAACAAATTTCTTAACATTTTTAGATTTTTAAAAAATATAAAATAATTTTTATTAAATATTTTATATTAAATAATTTTCATTAAATAACATCTAATAATTATTATAAATGTTAACTCGAATTCAGCTTGGAATTCTAAAATGTACCAAATTAATCACACTAAATCTATATACTATTCTAAAAGGGTAAAAAAATTCTTTACATTTTTAGATTTTTAAAAAATATAAAATAATTTTCATTAAATACTTTAAATTAAATTTGTTTTACTAACAATTATTATAAATGTTAACTCGAATTCAATTTGGAATTCTAAAAAGTACCAAATTAATCAAATTAAATCTATATATCTATAAACTATTCTAAAAGTGTAACAAATTTCATAACATTTTTATATTTTTAATTTTTATATTATTCTAAAAGTTTAACAAATTTCTTAATGATTTTAGATTTTAAAAAAATAAAAAATAATTTTCATTAAATACTTTATGTTTTACTAACAATTATTATAAATGTTAACTCGAATTCAATTTGGAATTCTAAAAAGTACCAAATTAATCAAATTAAATCTATATATCTATATACTATCCTAAAAGTGTAAGAAATTCCTTAACATTTTTATATTTTTTAAAATATAAAATAATTTTCATTAAATACTTTACATTAAATTTGTTTTACTAATAATCTATATATCTATTCTAAAAGTGTAACAAATTTCTTTAACATTTTTAGATTTTAAAAAAAAAAAAATAATTTTCATTAAATAATTTACATTAAAAATTTCCAAACTGAATACGAGTTAACATTTATAATAATTTACCAAATAATAAAATAAATTACCAATTAAAATTAAATAGGTAATTGTTTAATTGAAATTGAAATTCAATTTAATAAAATAATTACCAAATAATAAATAAATTTCAAATTAAAATTAGGTAAATGTTTAATTGAAAGATTTATTTAATGATTTGAAAGATCTTGATAAAATAAATGACTATTAATAAATTACAAAATAATAGAATAAATTACCAATTAAAATTAAATAGGTAATTTTTTAATTGAAATTGAAATTCAATTTAAAAAAATAATTTACCAAATAATAAAATAAATTATCAATTAAAATTAAATTGGTAATTGTTTAATTGACATTCAATTATGATGTTTCAAATCATTATTAAAACAAGTTATGTTTTAAAATAAAATAGGTAATTATTTAATAAAACAAATTACCAAATAATAAAATAAGTTATCAATTAAATTAAATAGGTAATTGTTTAATTGAAATTCAATCGAGATGTTTCAAATAATAAAATAGGTAATTGTTTAACAAAATAATTTACCAATTAAAATTAACTAGGTAATTGTTTAATAGAAATTCAATCAAGATGTTTCAAATCATTAAATAAATTACCAATTAAAATTAAATAGGTAATTGTTTATTTTAAATTCAATCAAGATAATAATTACCAGAAAATAAAATAAGTTACCAACTTTACTTTTTATATTTTATTATATTTCTAACTCTTTCCTAAATATAAATATAGATCTAAATCTTTCCAAATATTAAAATAAATTACCAATAAAAATTTGGTAATTGTTTAATTGAAAGATTTATTTAATGATTTGAAACATCTTGAGAACATTTTACCAATCAAGATGTTTCAAATCATTTAGCTACTACTTCTGGAGTTAGAAATAAGAGACATAATTGAATTATGTATATTGATGTAAATTATAAGATATACAAGAGGGGTTTATATAAGGAGGGTTATGAGTAATGAACAAGTAATCTTATACATATAAGGTAACTGTAATCCTATATGTATAAGGTAACTATATATTGTATACAAGGTAGAAGATATTATATAATATAGTAAGAATATATATTAATATATTTTAACAGCCCCCTCAAACTCAAGGTGGATTGAATAAAACCAGCTTGAGTTTGGAAATGAGATCTTGAAAGCGGCATGGCGGAAGCAATTTGGTGAAGATGGGTTTTCACCCATGATGAAGATGGAGACACATCAACAACTGACGTGGCACTACTACTGGCACCGATGTTGATGTGTCTTGGAGGCTAATTGGGCAACTGATGACGCGGCGATATTGACGTGGCCGGATGTCGTGGCCTGACACGTGGCGCGACATGGATCTGATGCACCTGGGCGCATGGCAGTCGGATCAGACGCGATGTGGTGCGTATGATGACCACTAATGGCACGTGGTGGTGCGATGACGAAACTGATCCGACACAATGAAGTGCGGGATTTCCGCGAGTGCGCGTGAAAACGCATGGAAAAGTCGGATTACCACTTAGGCGCATGGTGGCGCGGTGACGGAGTTAATCCGACACGTTGAACATCTCTGAACGAGGCATCTCGTTAAACAACGAGGCTTCCTTATACGGGGCATCCCTTGGCAGGGCTTCTCTAAACGAGGCATCTCGTTAGATTTCCCGGAAGAAGACTTAGACAACGAGGCTTTCCTGAAGGGGGCATATGAAGATCTTGGAGTGCGAAAGCGTATTGGTTGACGGCCGCCACCGAGGATAGGGCTAATGGTGCCATCCCCGGCGGGAACTATGATAAACTGGTAGATTATTTACCAGAGATCGAAAGACTCTGATACCATGTTAGAAATAAGAGATAGAATTGAACTCTGTATATTGACGTAAATTATAAGAGATACAAGAGGGGTTTATATAGGGGGAGTTATGAGTAATGAACAAGTAATCTTATACATATAAGGTAATTGTAATCCTATATGTATAAGGTAACTGTATATTGTATACAAGGTAGAAGATATTATATAATATAGTAAGAATATATATTAATATATTCTAACAGGTAGTAGCTAGAACTATACTTTTTGAGGTGCTGCAAGCTCAAGATTCTAGTTTAACAACCAATTTGGGTTAAGGTTGCTACAATAATTGTGCTGTTGTTGCTGTTTTTCCGAGTCTAGAGATTGTTTTTGCTTTGGTTTCATTTATCCTTTGTAGCGTTCTATTTTAGTTTTTTTTGTTTGTAATTTCTGAGGGTATGCCTTCTGTACGTGCATCTGTAAATATTTCACTTTTATTTTTTTATTTTTTTATTTTTATTTTTATACAACACCAATTATGAAAGAAAAAAAAAAAAAAAAAAAGAAGATAAAATAATAAAATAATTTACCGAGTAGTAAAATAAGTTACCAATTACAATAAATCTGATAAGTTACCAATTAAAATAAAATAAAAAATTTAGGTATTAACATGAAATAAGTAATTATTTAATGAAAAATTTACCAAATAATAAAATAATTTATCAATTAAAATTAAATAGGTAATTGTATAATTGAAATTCAATCAACATGTTTCAAATCATTAAATAAATTACCAATTAAAATTAAATAGGTAATTGTTTAATTGAAATTCAATCAAAATTTTTAAATCATTTAATGACAAAATAATAAAATAATTTGCCAAATGATAAAATAAGTTAGCAATTAAAATAATTCCTATTATTCTCGGAATTCTTTAAAGTTAAAAAAAATTTACTTTTTCTATTTTATTCTACTTCTAACACTTTCCTAAATATAAATACAGATCTAAATCTTCCACTATAACATTAGAATTTTATAATAAAATTTTATATTATATTTTATTATTATTTTAAGGTGAGATACATTAGTTACAGGTACATTATTATTTGAATTCAATTAATCATGTTGATTTTTTTTTAATTATGTTTTATTATTTGAATTGCATTAATCATGTTTTTTTTTTTATGTGTTTGTTTAATTATGTCATGTCACCATTTAATTTTTAAAAAATATCTTAATTTATTTCGATTGATCTGTTTCGCAACATGGTTTAAAATTCTTTATTTTATTACAGGTAGATTATGTTTTCTTTCAACTTTGTAGTAATTTCTTTGAATTGCATTGATTTATTCTTTTGGACGACTCCATTTATTTTTTTAAAAATATCTTAATTTATTTTGATTGATCTATTTCGCAGTATGACTCAAAATTATTTTTTTTATTATAGGGAAATTATTCTTTGAATTGCATTAATCATGTTGATTTATATTATATTTTTATTTTTTGTGTTTGTTTAATTATATTTTATTCTTTGAATTGCATTCATTTTCATTTTTTATCTTTCTATGTTTGTTTAATTATGTCATGTCAACATTTATTAACTAAAAAAATAAGTTTTGTAATATTATATACTTTATTTTCTAATTATATACATATTATTCAAATAATTTCAACCCCTTAAACTTGAGATTTTACTCTTAAATTTTAATCTTGACAACACATTTCGCTTCATAAATATTTAAAAATTTAATTACTCAAAAAAGTTAGTAATCAATTATTTAAAAAAGTGAATTTATTTTAATAATTTTTTTAATTAAGATCATAAAATAACTTTTCATCACGTGTATCGCACATATGTTTTAATAGTATATATATATATATATATATATATATATATATATAGGGATAATATCACTTACCTCCCTTGAGGTTAGGCCTAATTACAGTTAGTACCCTTAACGTTTCAAAAATTGCACCATCATTCCTCAAGGTTTGCTCTGTTGTAACACTTTGCCCCTTCCGGTGATGGTAAACGCCAATCAATTATAATTTTTGATGATGTCAACCATTTTAAAGCATGAAATACCATATTTGT